GACATTACTGTTGTGGTGATCAGTGCAAAGGACCAGTGCCCCAGACCAGTGCCACCATTGTAATATCTGTGAGCTAGAAGGTATTTTGTATAGCTTCATATGCATCCTCCTTGTTCTTTTCAGTTTATTCTAGACTCATAGAAAAAAGGAAGAAGCTTCCTTTCATGTTATCGGTGATGCTAGTTAAGTCACAGCCTTCAGGTTTCAAATTGGGAATTTTTCCTAATCAAGACATGGTCTAATGGGTATTTTTTTTTTTTTCCTCTCTAAGATACTTTTTAATTGAATTTATGGGATTTACTCAGGAATCATTCAGGTACAAATGATAACTTTAAACCTCTTCCTCTTTTCTTGGATTCCCTAGCCACTCCAGAATCATCCAACAACAGTAAAACCTTCTGTATCTTGTCTCCATATCATCTAAGAGTCCCTTATCTGCTCCTAACATGCGCAATAGTGAGAAATTATTTACTTGGAGTAGAAAACTAAATGGGATTCTTGGTATCTTAGGCACACTCTCTTCTGTGCAAAGGCTCAGTTAACACCAGTGAATCACAGAAACAGCAGAGAAGGGAAGAAGTCAATTTTGCCACAGAAAGAGGAGGTAGATTCCAGGCCACCAAGGAATCAGATCAGACACCAGACCAGGGAAATATCAGCACTTCACAGGAACAGCGCCTGCTGTTCAGAAGTTCATTTCTATACAGATGTCTACTAAAGTTAGAGAAGGAATTTAGAGACTTTAGATAAAATCTGTATGAAAGTAATTTTAGAAATAACAGTGTCTTAAGAACTTTTAAAATATAAAATGCATTACATTTCCAAGTGTATTTGTCTATGCTAGAGCTTATGAATAGTTATTTAGAAGCTTAATTTCGCAGTCTTGAATATAGATTTTTTTTCTTTTTTAAAATAACCTTTCCTTCCTCTTCTTCCCCACCTCAGTGTAGTCTTCATTTGAAGATATTTAAGACAAAGATGGCTTAAAAATGGATAGTAACTGTATATGAATAAAATATTATTGACCATCATCATCTGTGCTGTGTGTTAGATGCTGTTAGATCCTGGGTTAAAAGAGGGATTTTCTAATTTCAGATACTTGGAGAGGTAAGACCAGAATGAGATGGAAAAAGAGATGTCGTTTATCTTTCAAATAGTTCAGTTTAAAGTGCATGTAGATTCACTGACTCAGTTCCACTTAGATGTGCAGTAGTGGAAGGAACTAGAATCAAGAGTCAAATGTCTTCTACACTCATGGAGATTTTCTTATTTTTTTAGAGAAGGAAGTAAAAGAAGTTACAATTAGAGCAAGACAAAGTAAAAAGAGAAGGCATAAATGAAATATAAAATCTTATTAAACAGTATACACTATTATCTTTTCAATGTTTTGCTGTTAGAAAGGAACTAAAGCAAAGAAAATTAAGCTGTTAAAAAGGAAAAAGAAAAATAAAGTCAGAATATTATGGCTTATGAAGAGCTGGTGCAGATAGACAGGTAACTGTCCACAATGGAAAGCTACACAATATCTCTTTTTAGTTATTGTATTTCCAAACTTTGTGATTAACATCCCTGTACAAAACATCATTCCACAGCTATTTATTAAATAAAACCTTGAGGATCAAATTGTTAGCTTAAATTTTATTATGAATGAAGAAAGATGGGAGTATTTACCCTGCAAATCATAGTTATTTCCCTAGCTGCCTTCTAGTTCCTGGAAGGAAAGTAAATTGCTTTGGATCTAGCCTGCCTCAGTGTCTTGGGTGGGCTAATTCAGGCTGATTTACTGATCTATCTGCTAGTTTGTCCTCTTTGGCTAAACATAATATTTGCTTACCTTGGTGAAAAATTCCGCATGCTTTCTCCTTCAGACTTTCAGGGACTATAACCTACTCACCAGGTATTCCAAGAACTATCTCAAGATGAATTTTCCTGTTGTGCATCAGATAACAGTATTTGTTGTTTGCCATGCATGGTCTCTCCTCTGAAAAATCCATTTTGAATTGAGCTAATGGCCATTCAGCTGTGAAAAGAAATACAGCATAGAGCAATGCTAGAATTGATCGGACCATGGGATATCATCACAACCTGCATAACAATAAACCAAAATGTTCAACAAGCAGCACGACTTAAAATCTGACCTACATTCACCACAACTTGGGAGAAAAAATCTGGGACTGTACAATCTCACTATGAGACAATATATTGAAACTTTTCCAAATAACTTTCTCAGAATATTTTTATTCTTTCCAAAGTGGTGCTATTTCTCTACTTGGCTGTCCCATTTTTCATTTTAAGAGTTCATTTACCCAGAAATATTTTCACTTCTCTCTCTGATTTGTTTTAGCTGCAGGGAAGGCTTCTTCCTATGACATTGTGCACATTCTGAATGTTTCATTAGGTACTTCAAATACTCAACATGCAATAAACTTTTTCAAGGAGTGTATTGAAGAAAAAAATATTGATTACACTTCTATTTATTTCCTTTTGAATTCTGAATAATGCATTTTCTGCTTACTTTGTGATTCTCTTGCAGTGTTGTTTTACAGATTCACTTTTGCTAACAAATCAGATTTTAAGACTGACAAAGTACTCATATTCTCTTAGTAGATCTTGTGAATGCTTGGAGCCCTTTCAGTGGGTCTTGTGCTCTTGGCTAGGTTTTTGTCATTCTAATTGGGTTTCTTTCATTTTAATAAAATAAGTTTTAGCTCTGAATTGTATCCTGCTTTTTCCTTCATTGTCACTTCCAAATTGATATAGATCCCTAGAATAATTTGTATCTTGGATTTCACAAGCTTTCATGAGGCCCTTTTGTTATATGTACATGTGGAGTATATGAATACATAGAGTATAATAAAACATATATCTTACCAAAAAGTACAGGTGAAATTAATGCTAAATATATATTTAATTTTGAAACAGCATCTAGATAGTCTTAGAAGTATTTTTTGTAGGAATACAAGGTCATAGCCAGAGATGACTGAAGTCAGTAGAAAACTGTGTCATTTAGGGACTAGTATTTTTTTCTACAATGTTTTAAAGGAAAAATTATTTTTTAAACATTAAACTGCTTTTACCAAACTATGGTCTAAAAGATATATTGAAAATTAAATTTTGCTTTTCAAAAGTGTACTTCTAAAAATTGCAGGATTTACAAAACGTATGAAGTGCAGGAGGTTGTTGAAAACTCTAACCTGTTTTATTATTACCGAAAAACTGCAAGACTTGAATAGCAGAATACAAAATAAAAGTATTGAATGTGATTTAAAGAATCAGCTGGACAAATCATGCACCTTAGAGCAATGTTCTTTAACTGGTGGTGTATCAGCTTACAAATAATGCCCACTAAGGTCACAACGAAAAGTCTTAAATAGATGTGCATATAGTGGATACAGAAATGGAATTGATGACTCAGTTTCACTTGGTCTGTCTCTCCAGGAAGGGACATTGTGTTGCCCGATATCAGCTCCTCCCTGTGTAAAACTTCAATTAAAAGGAGAGAGAAGGAAGTGAAATACCGTGGTTCATCTGAAAATACAGTATTAAAGAAAAAAATGTTTTACAAGAAATAGGACCCTTGTACCAGGCTTAATATACATTTGGATGTTAATACAGTCTTTAATGTATTTTATAAGGGATTTTTAATTTTGAAACCTAGATTCTTGAGAAACTAAATAAATAAGCAAATAAAATATACTGACCATTATGATAGTTTCTCCATTGATTTTTCCACAAATTGCAGAAATATTTGGTTCATTTTTCCAGTACTAAATAGTGCAATGAATTAGTCTTTTTAGAAGTAATCACAGACTGTTGTCATGAAAACCTCCTTTAGTAATAATGATCTCATTTAGTTAGAAATTAAATAGCCTTAGTACTAGGACTTAGATTTAAATTACTTCTACTCTTTCCTATCAGTTGTCTTTCAAAATACCATTTTATATTAATTCCACAGCACTTTAATATCACCCTACATTCTAATAAAACAATACTTTATGCTTTCTACATCCATCATAATTACATGAATGTAGAAAGTGTTCAAAGTAACTGATATTTCCAGTGAAAATGTGATTGTTACCATGGACATGAACTCAAGTTTTCCAGCTGCTATGCATCTAAACTCTGTAACTACTCACATAAACAACCCACTAGACATGGAACAAGAAGAAAACCCCAAAGAGTGTAACAGACCTAGCCGTGGATGTGAAGTCTTCTTCAATGTACAGCAGGCTGGAGGGAGGGCAAAAGAATATAATAACATTTTCCAGCTTTTACCATGTACTGTGTTTACCAAATTGTGCATAAGGAAATGTTTACATAGTTCTCAGCTGTATACTGTTTTGTTTTTTTTCTGTTCTACCTGATGTGATAAACTTCTCTGTGAAACAGATATACAAATACTAGATTAAAAAATATTAAGAAGTGTTACGGTATTATGAAGAATATGAAAAGGAGTAATTTTTATATTGTGAGATCCCACTGATTTTATGCTGAAAAGGGAAAAGCATGCAGCGTGGATTTTAGTAAAATTGTGTGGAAAACCTGAGCATCTTTTAAATAATATGCATATTTTGTTTGTACATTATTGGCTTCAAAGCGATTTACAAATTTGAAACATCTAAATCTGTTTTGGACTCTGACTATGAGATAAGTTTACTTTATTAATATACATGTCATAAGTTTTGAAATGTGAAATACTGACATTGAAGGAGGAAATTTGAACTGGTTAACATGTTCATGTTAGGCTTATGCCATTTCCAAATGGTGTAAGAAAAAAATGAACACTGTCATTAAATTTAAATAATAGTCATTGTAGAGTGTAATGCTGTTTAGCTCTTTTTTACCAGTTGAGTGTTAATTTCTCCAGTTACAGTAACTAAAAGAATCAAATGTCTTATTTCTGCTGTCAGTTTTCAGATTTTCCCTCTTCCACCTCTGTCCCACAGTGTCTTAAGAAGCCTTGCAAAGTCCTTGCCTTACTGATGACTTTGTTGTTTCAGGCAATGATATGCATGAGGTTATCTATGAAAGGAGAGAGCACTCCTCTTTAATTGGATGGTGGAAATGGAATTCATCTTAAAATGAGAGTTTTTCAGAGGAAAGAAAAAGTAATCAAACCAATGGCAAAGAAGACAATGAGAATGAAAAGAGGTGAAATTGAGTTATCCTTAAAAATGAAACAGTGTAACTTCCTCTAAGATTTCACAGTATCTTTTCTCCCTTTTTAACAATCTTGATATGGCACACCATAGTTGACAGTCAGGAGCAAGAAACTCCTGGAGGCCAAGCCTTTGAGTGCTGAAAATTACTTACTGAGTAATGGAAAGAAAGCTAAAAAATACTGTGGTGGATGAGTACTTTCAGAGATTTACTGCTTTTCAGTTCTGCTAGGTCAAATTTGGAACCATAATCTTGATTAATGGAAAGTTTTGATGATCTTGTACTTTGGCACAAACATGGTTTAATATTTCTTCAAAACCACTTAATTCACCTACTTTACTTCAAGAAAACTGTCTAAGAGAACGTCTTATTGTTCACAAACAATAACATCCTTCAGAGTTTCATTAGTGTTCATTTGCAAGGAGTGTTTGTAAAGCTCAATCAATGTAGACTGCATTAGGTGTGACACTGAAGGGATTAGAGGAACAGAGAGAAGTATGTATAGCACAGTTTATCTGGGAGACAAAAAGCAGCTTAGTAGTGCTGATGTACTTTTTCCACTCTCCAGAAGTTGTTTGAGTCCAATAGCTGTGGACAGAAGTTCAACAAGAGGCCAACATTTTGCTCTGCCTCAGTGGAAAAACCCAGGTCCACTCAACATTGATTGCATTACAAGTGACTTTCTACAAGGTAAGTTGAGTCTGCTATGCAGTTTCCTGTATTGTGTTCTGTGAGATGGGGCTTGTTATTTAAGTGCTTAATACTGCATCCAGATTATGCAGAAGCTAAATTTAGCAATGCCAATTTGAACTCTTGGGTTTGGCTTGTTTGATGTTTTTTAATAGCAAGAAAGAAAAACCAGGGTAAAAATGTATACCTTAAAAATAGTATTGCATTTGTAGAATCAGAGTCTGTTTTATAAACAATTTAATGGAATTACTGGAAATGTTGTATTCATCTCCAAATACAAAATTTAGAATATTTTATGCAGCAAAAATAAATTGCACACTTGTAGTATGTTTTGCATTTTGTGATTGCTTTGAGAGAACATCTGTTCTGTGAGGACTATTCAAACTTTTCAGATGTCCTGTTAACATCTTTGAGACTCTGAAGCATGCTACTCTTGAGCCAAAGAATGGGATAAGGGAGGAAGAACATGTTGCTTCTTTTAGCACCATGTTAGTATCCAGTAGCACTTGGGAAAAGCGTGTCCTGATAATGAAGTCACTGAATAGTTGCAAGAGGAATTGCTTTAATGTAAGGATGGACAGGTAGATGCTTTCTGCTATTAAGATACACTTTCAAAAGCTGCATACTCCTTTGGCAGCCTGGAGGTGAAAGTGCTAATACGAGGAGAAAGGAAAGAAAGAGCTTTAGACTGCCATTTTACTTTTATGCAAAATTTGCTATACTAACTGCTTTTTGTGATAAAAGTCCATAGTTTAAAAAAAAACCCAAACAAGTACATGCACAGTACAGCAGAACATAGTATCTATAAATTTGCTATTACCTCTGTCAAAACCTATGCTCATCAGCCAGGGAAAACAAACAGGAATCCAGAAAGATCCCCAAGGTTCTAAAAAGTCTCCTGCAGTTACAGTCACATCTGTACTGGGAAATTCTGCCTGTAAGCAGGTAACAGCAGGTGCTGATCTAGATGTTGTATTAGATTTATCTCCTTGTTAAAAATGTTCTCCTCAAGAAAAATTCTGTCAGGAGATTTCTGTGCCTCACATACCTTCACCTAGTTCACTGTTGGGTGGAAACACTTCACGTGAAGGATTCAGGGTGTTCTAATCCAAGGAGTCATAGTTCCTTTTCCTGTTACAATCTTATCCCATATCATCAAGGCCTTTCCTCCCATGGTCCCTCCCCTATGACAGCCCTTTGCCCTCACTGTGCTCACAAAAGTAGATCCTGTGCAGCTCAAAGTGTGCCCATCGCCATTTTAGAAAAATGATGCCTGGTTTTTACAGCATTTCAGTTACTAAACCACTATGTATTAGCTTGGGAATGAGAAACTTGAAGGTGATGAAAGCATGCAACTGTTTCAGGTTCTATCAGACACTTGGCAACTAGTTCTGCACCCTGTGAACTGGTGCTTCTAAAATTTTGAAAAACAGCTTGGCAGTATTAGGAAATATTAACAATGTAATTAACTGTGTATGTGCCAATCTCTCAAGTATGGAGTTTGCCTCATCTGAGACTCTTATGGACAGAAGCACTAAAAGGTGTAAGGGAAACAGGCAACTCTGTGCTGATATGTCAGTGCTTGAGTGGTTTCAACCAGGATGAGTTGTGCAGATGGAGATACTGAGTCCTATAGAAAGACGATTATAAACAATGCTTTTAAAAAACAAGAGCTAACACATACCAAGATACCAGAACTGTGTTTATGGATACAGTCAACATGCCAATCCCTAATGTTGTTTGTGTGTACAAGGTATTTTTGAGAGTACAAGTGAAGCCCTGGGAGATCTGGCTGATAGTAATACTATCTTTATGGGCCTTGTCTGCTGTTCCACAGATGGGGAGTATGACATTGTTAAAAACAAAAAAGATTAAAATGTTAAGTGGAAAGAATAAATACAAGGCAAGCTGGTCTTTCAACAGCTAGACAGAAGTTATAGAAGCCTTTCATTTAGTGTGTATGGCTGAGGGTGATGTAAGAGAATGCCTTAGAGTGCCAGGCATCCCTTCTATACTGTGTTGCTGCTCTAGAAGAGTAAAAAAATAGGTAATCATTATAATTGTTTGCTGTACTTGGCTGAAGCACACATAGTAAATGATTTGCAAAAGCCCATTTTAAATTAAAGTTCGGATGCAGTATAGCATTAGACACAAGCAATAACATTGCCCAGACACATTAACAATAACAGTCAAAGCTTATGAAAAGTAGTCTTACATCTATTTCATATTTTAAAAAAAATTTGAGTGTGAGATTTTGTCTTAACCTTATAGTATATTTGAACTCAGCCCTTTTCTAAGTGAGCTAGTGATCTAGTGAACTGTTGTCTCAGTTTGGGTGGATGGCTTTGCTGCTTTGAAATGTATTTCCTAGGCAGCTCAAGTACAAAGATTTCCACAGATGTGGAGGTTTTGTGGGTGTCTTTGCAGAAATTGTCTTTGCTGCCTGATAATGACAAACTATCCTGTTGCACTTCTCATTACATCTCTGGACTGGGCTACTTTCTCCAGGAACCATCTCTTTTCATCTTGCCTCCTTTGCTATGTCAGAATTATGACCTGCACATAAATTTTCCTTTTGTATTCATGACAGTGGATTTATTATTAACAATGAATTTGCTTTCCTTAAATCTTTCCTGCAAAATATTATCTGTAGGAAATAGTATGTTGAGTCATTTTCCATTAAATTGCTAACAACATTAATATAATATCTGATTATATGACCTGTATATTTTCTTCATTAACAAGAGGCAGCCTTCCTCTTGCCATATAATCTGGTTTACTACTCACACCTACACAGATCTATTAACTTCTAACAGGCTTACACTCTGAAAAATTGTATTTCCTTGAAATTGCAGATGCTTTTCAAGCACCTTGAGAAGATAAGCTGTTGTCACAGTGCTTTACTTCCAGCTTCTGTTGTCTTCCAAGGAAGCAGAGATTTGCAGGGAAGACTACGGGACTTGGGTCTGCCATCGTGTTACTGCAGGGTGATAGCACTGCTTGCCTGCTTGCTGCACTGCTGTAGCAGGAAAATGTCATGCTGAGAGGAAACACAGCTGATTCTAAAGACAGAGCTGAACAGTGGACTTCCATGGACATTAAAATGCTGGTCACTACAAGAATCTGCTACATGGCTCTTACTGATGCTCTTGCATTAGCTTTTCAAAGAGCAGCAGTCCTGAAACATGTCTGCAGTCACACCAGGGTGCCAGAAAACCTTAGGATCATTGTAAAGGCATGAGTTCTGGTACCTGCAAGCAGGGCTTCCAGGATCAAGAATTTTTATAGGTATAACTAGTTATGATATAAGAGACAAACAAAAATACACACAGAAACACAAATAATATCAAATTTCTCTAAATAAAATATTAGTAAGGAAATTAAATGTTATGTTTTTAAAACGAGGGATGGAAAGAATTATTTCTGGGACGGCGAGCAAGTAGCAGAGTTGTAATTACTCAGCTTTCATCTCCATCTCGACTGAGGGTCAATGGAATAAATGCGGTTCCCCGCCGCCACCGGGGGGCGATCCTCTCCCAAGTACTTCGAGAAAGAGACACAAATGACACATTCCGGGCTGTCCCGGTGAGATGTTAGCATAGGTCTACTTAAAGAGGTTTCTAGAAGTACATTTTAAAAGGTAAGAATATTTTGGCAGCTAACTTTCAATCACGTTCCTAGAATTCTTGAATCTTTGACTTAATTCAATTTAAAAATTAATTTAGAAATGACTGTGTCTTAAGGAACTGGAATGTTTAATGTATTCTCCTTGATTTCAGTTAATAAAGATTATTATTAAATATCTTATTCCTGCTTAAAGCTCAAAGATGCTCTCATAAGTCTGTCATGTTCTTAATTTTCATTGTCAGTTTGTAACCATTAACCTAACATTAGTTAATACTTCCGTATTTATTATCCATATACTTTTGAAGAAATTTATAATTTACTACTCTTTGACTTAAATGAACAAAAGATAAAAGCTATCCAAATGTTCAGAGTACGTATATTGTTAACCACGACTATTCTTCAGGCCTTTAACCCAAATGTGTGTTTCATTCCCTGTGAGTGCATTGGCATTGTATACAGGACAAAACAACTTCATTTCCAGCTGCATAAAGCACTTGTCTAGTGAGTATATCTGAACAGGATCAGAGAAATGGAGAAATGAAAAGGGAAATACCTGCTATTCAAAAAGTAAAAAAAAAAATTAAAAAATGGAGCAGTAGCACTAAAAGACGTGAATCTGTTATAAATCAAAACCCCAAAGATTTCACTGTTTACCTTTCAGTTTCACTTGCTGTAACCTCTTAAAAACCTCACTCCAAAAATCTAATAAGGAATTAGAACAATGGGCATTTTAGTCAAGATGTACACACACTTTTTCAGGTTGGTAAAAACACTTTGAACAAGTTATGGAAAGAACAATTATATTTTAAAAAACCCGTTTATTATTAAGAGAAAATAATTCACTGCATGCTTTATAACTCTCTCATTTTTTATATTATCTGCATACATGGCCTAGGATGAGGAATAATCAGGTTCAAACACAATTTCAAGTCTTTAGCAATTAGTGCAGACTTCTGCACTATTCATTATACGACTTGGTGTATATTGATCAATGCAACCTAATTTAATGTGAGAGATAAAAATTGCTTGTTGTTCTAGTTCTATGCACCATTTTCAGAACAATCTCTCAGAACAGGTATCAAAATTATTTCCTAGGTGCAAATTTTATGACACTGTCAAAAAATGTCTGTGCCATGTCTCAAAATACTACCTATCCCTATAGCTTCTGGTTTGGTCTGAGATCTATGGTCTATCTTGGAGTTAATTTTTAGACTACTGGGACAGTTACAAGTTGATGTCAAAAACCAGAAAGCTCTATGTCATTCGCTCATTGCTGGCTTTTAAACTTCTCTTGGTGCATGATTCTCTCCCTCTTCCAAGGGTACTTTAGGTAAAAATGTAATTGTTTATTGTGAATCTCTCTCAAAGAGAAAGGATTGAGTAGCCTCAGCATTGACTCTGATGTGTGGTCACCAGTACAAAAACTTACAGAGTGATAAAGAATGGGGACATTCCTCCACCTTGATTAAAAGAAAGTCTTCCATCATGTGGCTAAAACTGTTCCTGTTCTGTAACTCTAAATCTGATAGAGACCCTGCTATTAAAATTAGGTAATTATTCGATATTGTTCTGATAAACATGAGGCTGGATGCTGTGCACGATTTTGGAAAACCTCAGACATTGATTTACTACAATTAGTCTGGATTTGCATCCCTTAATGAATGCAATGCAACCCTTCCTTCAAAGGTGTTAACAGTTTGGGGTTTGGATTCTCAAAGATGCTGGCACGTTTCAGCTTCTTTGATCCTGACTCTCCCTTTTTCTATTGAGCGTATCATTCAGAGTGATACATGAAAATTAAATTTCTGTATACAATCCAGAACTGCCCTTGTACAAAGAAGTAAAAAAAATCTGGAAAGGACCAACCTTCTTTCTCGCTTTCAATATGAGTGATATTTGGTATTTGGAGAGACTATGCTGGGTATTGGGGGCTTCTCTGAAAGACAGGCAGCTTCCTTCAAATGAATTCTGGAGCAAGGAGGGAGCACTCTAGGTTATTATCTGTAATATAGGGAAATTATGTTGCTTGTGCAATGTTTGAAGGTGAAAGAAAATTTGGGATCCTTTGTGTTTACCTTGATGATATGAAGGCGAGGAGAACTATAAAAAATAAAAAAGCAAAGCAAACAAAAAAAAATCCCAAACCAAATAGCAGTGAGAGATCAGGTTGTACTCTCCTCAGCTGGTATAGATAAAATGGGTTTGATATATGTTAATAAAATAAAAGTGTAAATCACAATAATTTATTATGGTGACATAGATATATAAAAAAACTAAAAATGAAAAGTAGTATGCTGTGTATTAACATACCATTATTTTACTTTAATAAACTGGGAAACTCTTGGACACATGATGTTTTAAACTAACAAAATATCCCAACAATTTTTATTTGAAGAGCTATTAATAGAAGGTCAACTTATGGTCTAGTATGCAGCCTAGCCACATGCAAAGTGGGAGAAAGAAGGAAGTTCCATCAGCTGTGTCAGTACATTTCTGCATTTCTGTTGAGCTTCTAAGAGTCTCTGGAGGAACTGAGGTCTAGTGGTAGGGTACTGCTGAATCTAGGGGATAGCCTAGTGTGTTACCATCAGACTGACAGTAGCATCTTCACTGCTGTCCAGAAAGGCACCATAGGATAACAAAATACACTGTAGAAATTTTAAACCTGTGACAAATCTATTTAAACCTAGCTGGATTAAATTCTGGGTAATTTACAGATGTTTAAAGCCCTATACTTGTCAAGTTAAGTGGAGGAGGTCGAGCAACATCTTCTCCCCGCTTTCCTCTGTATGCACAGCCATTTGGCATACTATGTGTCTATGCTAGGGAGAAAATGTTTGCTATGGATGCAGAAAAACTGCCATCTCAGAGGGATTTAGATTTGAGACTGGAATTATGGTAATTCTCCCCATGGTATCTTGTGCCCTTTGAAACAGATAATACTAATAGAAAATCATCTTTAAGTAAGGGGCATGTGAGTTATAAATAGATTTATAAATGGCTTTCCAGACTCCTCACAATGTGTACAATATTTCATTCCTTTCACATTTTCTTCCATGTCAAATTGAGATGAAACATCAATGTTCTAAAACTACCTGTAGAATCCTAACTTTAGAAATTATTTTTTCTTTCTAATTTCAGTGCTTTAATTGCCTTGAATTGAAAAATTAATTTTAATTGAATGTCAAATTGCATCTACTGGTATTTTGAAATTACTTCTTTATTGTCTAAACTCTGTGTTCCTATTCTCTCCTATGGTCTACCTAAGAAGCCAGATGGTTAGAAATTTCCAGGTTTTTGACCAGGCTCTGTGACAAAACTAGATCATCTATAACTCATGACAGTCTCCTTTGAGGTTTAGACATATCTAAATGTCTAGACTTTGATGTCTAGACTCTATCACGGAGTCTAGGACTCAAAAACTTATTCTTTGAAATACAGAAACTACAAATTCCAGCCAATTAATTATGATGGAAACTGCTTTTTTGTGGGTCACCTAAATTTCAACAAAATGAAATCTTTCAGTTTGGTTGGATAAATTGTTAAATTTCGCTGTGTGAAAATGCCCACAGAATAAGCAGAATTATTTGTTTGTTTTAGAAATTTTTCCCTGATTTTTAATGTGTTAAAGGTGACAAAAAAAAAAAATCAAAATAGTTACAAGAATGATCATATGGAAAAATATTTAGTTCCTAGATGTCTTGATTAAGACAAGCTGCCAGTCGTGAAACATTGCTGCTGATTCAAAAGGTCCAGGTCAATACAGAGAGATCAGGCTGGAAGCGGCAATAATCTATAAGTTAGTACCAATCTACTCCTAATAGCTTCATCAGTCCTGGTAATCTGGAAGGCCAGCTCTACTCTAGAGCAGTAGTGTTTGTTGTTGTGGTGTTCTTGTTCCACATCAGTTTTCCACTTCTGAAATAGAATAATAATAAATATGATTATTAAGATAAAATACAGCCAGAGCAGTTAATTGAAGAAAGTGAGAGAACAAGGGAGTGATGAAAAAAGATGAAAAGGAATAGGCAAAAGAAAAACTTTGTATCTCTATTCTGAAAACCACAGAAAATTAAATTAAATGGAAAGAAGTGATTTTGAAAGACAGAAATATGAGAAAGATATTGGTGGTTTTAATAAATGAAATTTCCATGAAGAATTGTGTCACTGTGAGGTTTTTTCCTGCAGTAAATTTGATATTTTCATGTTTAAAAGTTGTGTAGAAATGTGCAGAGGCTCTTCTGAGTTATACCCTAAAAATTTTATTTTATATTTTTTTGCAAGATATATGATGAATTTAACTTACTTTTAAATTATACAGAAGGTTTAATAATTAAAGCACATTCATAAGAAAAAAAGAAACGTAATTTCAGAGCCCTAGACTTTACATGGAGGTTATTTGTGAAGAAATTGTACTTAATTGCGTAGCCTCCTCTCACTTCTGACTGAATTGGTAACAAGGTAAGACATACAGCATGTGTGATAGCGCCTACAGGCCCAAAACAAATTAACGTAATGGGCACAAATGTGTACTCCTGTCAAACTACGTATTTGATTAGGAATGGACTTGGCTTCAACTGTACATGCGGTTCTGCAGAAGAAAAATAAGCCAGTTAACCCATGTAATTCTGAAATGTCTAGAATGAACAGGTCTAGAAACAGAGCTAAAAATAGATGTGGTTGAACTGTAAAATTGACTAAGATTCCTTTTCTGTTGTAATACAGGTTCCTTTAATGCTTTACACTGCTCCAAAATCATGTTAACTAAGCAAAGCTTGATTTTAATAGCAAAATTCTTTTGAATATGTGCAGTCCTCCAGATTAAAATCAAATTGGGTGGAAGTATTAATCTGCTGGAGGGTTGCAAGCTCTACAGAAGGATCTAGACTGGCTGCATCAATGAGCTGAGGCAAATTGTTTAATTGCTTAAGAAGGCCAAGTACTGGGTCCTGCACTTCAGCCACAACCCCATGCAGCTCTGAAGGCTAGGGAAAGAGCAACTGGAAAGCAGCCTGTTGGGAAAGGATCTGGGGTGCTGGTTGACCAGCAGTGTGCCCAGGTGGCCAAGAAGTCCAGTGACATCCTGGCTTGTATCAGAAATAGTGGCATCAGATTGTATTAGCAGGACCATGGCAGTGATTGTCCCCCTGTTCATGGCACTGGTGGTGATGCCACACCTCAAATCCTGTGTTCAGTTCTGGGCAACTCACACAGAAAGGACATTGGGATGCTGGAGCAGGTCCAGAGAAGGGCAGTGAAGCTGGTGAAGGGTCTTGAGCACAAATCTTATGAAGATCAGCTGGGGTTATTGAGCCTGGAGAAGAGGAGGCTCTGGGGACACTTTATGTTCCTCTACAGCTATCTGAAAGGAGGGTGTAGCCGGGTGTGGGTTGCTCACTTCTCCCAAGTGACAAGAAGAAACAGCTTCAAGGTGTTATTAGGATGTTAGGAAAAATTTCTTCATGGAAAGGGTTGCCAAGCACTAGAAGAGGCTGCCCATGGAAGTTGTTGAGTCTCCGTCCCCGGAGGTATTGAAGACATTTAGATGTGGCACTTACAGCCATGGTTTGGGATGGGCTTGGCAGCGCTGGTTAGTGGTTGGACTTGATGATCTTAAATGTCTTTTGTTCTAAATGATTCTGTGGTTTCAAAGTAGAGATGTTTTAGGTGGAGGTGGCATGGTGAGTCCAACCAAACTCTAAGTAATATAACTGTCTCTAGCTAGTTTCATAGGTTAACACATCAGCCTACCGTTAGTCAATAAAGTATTGCATATAAACCTGTCATCACTATAAAATACAGGATACTTGTGGGGAAAGGCCTTTGCTCAGTTACTGACAGAAGAAAGAGGCGAGATGGTTCTGTTGTGATCAGCTTAGCTTTTGCTTTTGTGAAGATTTCTGTGAAGACCAGTTCCCTTTTAAGTAGTAAAGACTTAAATCTTTCAGAGACATGACATTAGGCTAAATTCGTAGCTACCCATCTTTGATGTCTAAAAACGTGAGCCTTGTTTCTTGTATTTCTCACGTAAAACATTTTGATAAAGGGTAGCTTTCTTCATAAATGACACCTTATTGTGAACATTTTCAGACATTACTGGAATTATTTAGATTTTATTGAATCCTCTGTAACAGTCCCAATTGCAATGAATACATTAGAAATGTCTCATGATAGGTGGTCTATTATGAAGACAAAGCTTGATAGGATATTCAATATGTAATAATCAATATATAACCAATATATGTCCAATGTATGTCCAGTATATAATAACAAGATATGTTATATTGTATCCAATTGCTTTGGACATCATGCATAAAACAAGAAAATATTAGTTTCTTAATAAATAGGATTCAAAAAAGTCTGAAAGAGGATATAATATAAAGCAGAATGTTTTTGTATTGGATAAATTGGATTAAGTTGGTTTAAGTATTTGAGTAAACCTTACTGTTTTGATTAGTGTTCTGGCAAAACAGAAAAAAAAAAAAAATTACCCAAATTTTGCACAGAAAAACTCCAAAGAAGAGCAGTTTTGTGATGTGTTAAAAAAACCCCATGAAAACAGTCTCAAGGTTAGAAAATTGTCATTAAATAATGTTCTTGCTTGCTACATTATGTATAGGCTAGAGCTATTGTTAAGAGAAGCATTCAAGAATTTCAAGAACCCTGTCTCTTCAAAATAAGATGTAAGAGCAGACAATGGCTTGTGGTCAGGGAGAGTAAATATTGGGAAGGAGATTAATTAGCATGCCAAAAGAACTTTACTAAGATGAGGAGGCTACAATGGGGCTGAAAATCTCCAGCTGTGCAGAACTCTCAGGAAGGAGGAGAAAGTGGTAAATGAAGAATCAAAAAGGGTCCCCTACCTGTTTAATCAACCGCAATGATTAGAATAATTAATGTTTTTTTCAAACTGTGTTGCAGAGACATTTCTTAAAAGCTTCTGGTGATCTACATAGTGAAGAAAAACAGGAGCATGTGTTTCAGACAGAAAATAAAAAAAAAACAACCAAACTCTTCTGCTATATAACATGCATTTTTTTTTCCATGTTATTTTCATTCTTATTCAAAAGAATTATAAGCTTAAAGTTTCATTACATACTTTATCTTCTAATTTTGTCTGCACTAGAATTACTTCCCTAGGTAATTTGTATAATTATTCTTATAACTCACTTCAGGCCTGAAAATCCATAGTGAAATAAGGTCACCCAAACCAAATATACCTTTCATATCATACTATCACCCACTGTACCTTTTGTTGAGCATAAGTCAAATTTTACATCTATATTTCTGACCAACATATTTGAGCAAACAGGAAAATTTCAGTGGATAAAAATAGGAGCAGTATCACATCCTCTTTGCTTATCCTAATTTCTAATTTTTGCCTGAGAACAAAAAACATGTGGAAGACCTTCTTCAGTCACATACTTTGGAAAATGTAAACTATAGGGGATATGAACTAGAAAACTGTGAACCTACTCCATAAACTTCTAGAATATTTATTTATAGAAAATGGTGAGAAAGAAATTTAGAGAAGTCCAAGCTCACAAAGGGTACCTATGTCCTACCCAACTTCTGAATTGCTCCTATTGAGATTTGATGGTGTGAGGTGGTTAAAACACATCACTATCCAACACACAAATGTCAATTCAATGCCAAACATATTTTGGTGCTTAAATAAAGCCAGATCTGAAAATCAGACACAGCTCTTAGAGCTGAGTACTTCTGTATAAGGAATAAGTAAACTAGAGATGCTTAAAGTAGGAAAACATCTTCTAAAGGAGACTGTGAATAACACAGGAAGGACTTAACAGGCATTGGTTTAGAAGTTTCATCAATCTTATGATTTTATGACTGTTTTGTTCACAGAAATTCTACTGCATATAGCATTTGATTTGAAAGGGTGTATCTGGGACTAGGACACAAGGAGACATTTGCCTTTTTCTGGAAGCTGTGATGTGTACCACGTAAAATTCCAGGATAGGAAAAATTTCAGATTTTTTATGATCCACTGAGAACAGTCAGATGAGAAGAGTTCCTGCATCTAAAAGAATTGATATGTAGAGATAGAAGATTGTCCTTGGCATCAAGGCACTGCTTATTATTGTGTTGTAAATTTTAACATACAGTTTTTAAACTGTTCATTGGACAAGAAAAGAGTTTTGAATTTTTGAACAACAGCAAATACAAAAATTCATTGCATGCTTTTCTAGAGACATAAACTTAATTTTGACAATGACAAAATATTCTGCAGTCAAAGTGAAAAATTCAGATTTTATCTCTAGACAAGGTATTTTTCTTGAATAGGCTTGATCAAATCTCAGTTCATGAGTTTTGTTGGGGAAGTTCTTCACTTTGTATTATATAAAAATCCAGATCTTTCTGCATTTAACAAATTTGAATGAAGAAGAAATTCTTGTATTTTTGAAGGCCTGAGTTCCAGGATCCATTTTTGTGAATTCCTGTTGCATCTGCTGTGTTGTTGGGGCTATACAGTGTCACCCTGAAAATTTTTTGATAATTTTCTGATAATGTTTTCATAGTTTTAGTTACTTTCCCATGAAAGTCCTGTAAACATAAGTTGTTTATCACATTCCTTCTAAGAAATGTCTTTTGATGGACGTTTTGCATGACCAGTGTGATTGGGAAGGTGGTAACTTAATTATCCAATCCCTGGTCATTGTTGAGAATCTATAAATACCGGAGTCAGAAAATAAAGTGACGGGTTTTTGTTCTGACAGTGAGAGTGGTCATGTGAATCATTTCATGTCCTTTAGTGACAATACAGAATGTCAGAAAGATTAGATGCAGTGTCAGGCAGAGATGTCACACCACTAAGACGTTTTCTGTTTCAATTGTAAGCTTGTGAGGACTTTGCTTAGACCTACCTGTCTTGAGATGGTCTTCTGCCTCTGGTCTTGGACAGGTCCACATAACAATGCCTTATTCTGAAGTGTACGTAAGCTGTCTGTATAAACAGATGGATGTGTCCTTAATGCTGACCATCTCAGCTGCCATGCTCTCTGGATCTTTGTGGTTTGTGCCTTTTACAGTACTTATGTTAGCAGAGATCTACAGGTGTTTAGCAGTCTAATAAAATTCATGAAGAATGAGAAATATGAGCACCTTGGAGCATTTACCCTACAGAAAAAAATATTGAGGATTAAATTGCAGTAATAGCAGAAGAATAGGGAAAGCCATAGAAGACAAATAGATTAAATCTTGAAGTCTGCAGTGGCCTGAAGTAGAAGATCAAAGTCAAAGAAGAATGAAAGATGAATACTTCAAAGCAGTCCAAGACACAAGTAGCAAAAGTCAAGGAGAAGTTGAGATGCAGCTAGCAAAAGACATCAAGGTTAATAAAAAATAATTGCAAACTTAGTATTATTATAAAGAAGATGAAAGGAAGGGATGAGTCCCATTGTGGAGGAAGAATGCAGTAAGGAGAGAAAGGTAAGAAAAAGTAATTTAAAACCTATGCACCAATCATTAATGGCATATAGTCGGTTAACTCAACCATCACAAAATTTACAAGAAAAAAAAGGGCTTAGATAAGACTTTGTCTGTAATTAATCTATTTTATAATTTTTGTAAAAATGATATTGTTATAATCATCTCATGAATTCTCTCTGAATGTTCACAGAATTGTTTGAAAGGGTCTCAGAATTCTTAGTCATTGCTTTTGAGAAACTGTAGAGGACAAGCAGTTACCAGGTGACTTTAAAAAAAACAAAGGAAATTAAAGGGCTTATTTAAAAAAGGGACCTTCAAAAAGTGGGTGAAAAAGGGTCAGAAAATTAAGTTCTTGTCATTCTACCCTCAGTTTCTAGAAAATGCAGGGACAGGTAATTCAGCACACTATGTCTAAATGTGTGGAAGATACTGAAGAAGATGCAAATCCTATCAAGTCAAAATAATTTATGTTTATGAAGTAAATCCTCTGCTCTACTCCATGGTGTTCTAGACATTGACAATGGAAAAACCTCCTAGCCCAATTCAGTGGATAATAAAGTGATCAGAGAAACCAAAATCATATATAAGATTAAAAGAACAGGGTAAAAATATGGTCATAAACGTATCACCAGGATGAAATACAGAGTGGTTACAGAGTGAATAGTTTCCAGTATGGGAAAGACTGCTGCTGATCAGAGGAAAAGAGTCATTTGTTCTTCATGCTTTTGGTGAACAGTATTCACTGTAAGTTAAAAGCTTAAATTTTAACAAGCAAGACCACCTTGTTTCAGGTATTGGAAACCTCTTCTAAAATTAGTCTAGTAAAACTAGAACCCACTAACACGGATCAGTGTGAAGTTTCTATCACCAACAGACTCCACCGATGGTGATTCTAGTAGTAGATTTGGGTCGACATCTGCCAGCAGTGACAAGGTATATCTGGCTTTGCCTGCAGGCAGTGGGATACCTAGATGTTCCCTTGGGATTCCCTTCAAAATAAGTTTGTTCAAATATAATAACACAGCCCATACAGTTAAAATAGTTGTAAAAAATTAACTCCATACTTAATTGCCCTAAGTGAACATATTCTTCATTTGCAGGAAGTGAGTAGAGCACTTTTGTGACACAGTTCAGGACATAAATTTCCTTGCATTTCCTAATAATTTCTCAGCATGTCACTTCTATTCCATCAGTAACCTATGCATACAAACTTTTCTTCCAATATATATCTTCATGCATACGTTACATAATTCCAATGCTCTTTCACATAACACACAGGTGAATATGCAAAATACATATTTAAATGCATACTCCCTCTTTTTTTCTCTTTCCATCCTTTTCCTTGTGCAACAACCATACTATTCACACCAGTATTGTAACTTACAAGTATATTACTGGCTACACCATCCTTATTGTTACCTCCCTGTAGAATGCATCAGCTACTCAGAGGGGAAGAAACCTGAACAGTTATTATTCTAAATTAGTAAGTTTTAATATTAAAATACTTGTTACCAAAAATTTGCAAAATAGATCATATTTTGTAATTGAGAAGAAAATTTTTTTGTTAATAGCAAAAATGCTTCTTGACTGGACAATTCTGAAGAGCTGTGAGGCAGAGTTTCTAAACTCTCAGTTCAAAATTATGTTCTTGTTGCCATTAGTATTATTATCTTACCACTGCTTCAGTGACAGATTCCCTGTCACATCTTAAAGATGCTATTGTTAAACACATCAGTATGTAACAATAGTTACATTTTCTGTAAGAAATGTGTGTACATTTAAAATAAAGAATATTTCTCAAGGTACATAAGTTTAATCTTTGAAGAGAAGTAAAATTATTGAGAAAAAAAATTTCTTAGTTTTGTATCTTCAAAATGCCATTTCAATCAAGTATCATTGTGTGCTTGAATAAATGGAATTACCAACTTGTGTAAAGTCCTTGATCAGAATGAGGCTCTTAAACCAATTATGTGGAGATCAGAGTGCTTAAAATTATAAGGAATACATTTAGAATTATTAAAGGCTTCAAATAGCTTGGTTCAGGCAAAATTACATATAATTGATCATTAGCATGTGTTGTCAGTAGAAACTGCAGTCATAGGTGTTGAAGATCACTTTTTAGACAAATTGCAGTGAAACTTTTAAAACTCAAACCATAAGAGATTTCCCCTTTCTGAGGATTTTTGCTGAATGCAGATCTTAGCCACTTTTATTCTTCTTCTCTAAGTATGGAAAGATGAACAATAACTTGAAAGTACTAACTAATATTATCTGGATGAAATTGTCAAATACAGACGGAGCAAACCCAAACCAAAATAGATCACCTTCATTGCTGGGTAGGTGAAAACACAAATTCAGGAACTGGGATGCTGTTAAAAAAAGTTTAAATAAGTAGTTCTTAAAAAAAAAAACAACCAAACCCCAACACATCAGCTTTATAGAGAAATTTCTTCTTTCCCAAAGGGCAAAGCAATTTGTAGAAAATTAACATTAAGACTGACAAATACAAACTGGGTTGTCAGAGAATGATTCTATAAAGCACTGACTCTATAACCCACCCTCAGAATGACTGTTTTATCGATTCTTATTTAGCCACTGTGCAATCCCTCTACCCACTGGCTTTGAAGTTTATGATTCATTTATTATAGAATATAATATCATTCTGGATAGGTAGCATTTTTAGGGTCAGACAAATAAATCCTAATCTGGCAATCATCTCTGTCATAAGGGTGACAGGATTTTCATGGATTTTAGTGATACAAGTTCAGGAACAAAATGGCATCTATTACGTACTGTATGATGTAGGTTATTTGATTTAATTAATACTTTACTATCTGTCTGTAGTTACAGTTTATGACCAAAATAAAAACTTGCTAAAATCAGTGGCAATCTCATAATCACTTCTCCTTTTGCATGAAGTGGCTTTTTTCTGCCATCAGAGAATCTCTTGATGGACTTGACCCTAGTTCCAAATCTGAAAGTAACTTGTATTTTACCACAGAAAATACTTTCAGCAACTACACTGAGAGTGTTGTGTACTTGTCATACTTGGCTGCCTCGCAGTGGGTTAGTCTTGGCTAACATCCAAACATTCACCCAGCTGCTCACAGCCCCTCTCCCCAGCAGGACAAGTATAGGAAGAACTGGAGGGAGAGAGCTCATGGGTTAATATAAAATCAGGAATACTGATGACCGATTATTGCTGCAGACAAAACAAACTTGACTGGGAGAAGATGTATTGCCAATTAAAATAAAAATGTAGTAGCTAGTTTGAGTAGTGGTAAAGAAGACGACATGTTAAAACAACAACTTTTCTCCCTTCTTTTCCCAGGCTCAGCTTAATTCCAGACTCCTCTCTCCCTGACCAGCACAGGGAGAATTGGGGGCACGTAGAGTCAGCAGGTAACAATTTCTCTGCACAGCTCATTCCTTCTCACACTTTTCTTCTGCACTGGCATGGCTTTCCCATTGGCTTTCTTCAGGATAATGAGCTCCGGTCTGGGCTTGCCACAGTTTCTCTGGGTTCCCTTTGCTCTGGCATCAGTCTGCCAGCGCTCGGCCATGGAGAGCACATTCTCATCTCTCTCTGGCCCCGCCGTTCCCCGTTGTTTCTCACCGTTTCTGTTCCCACTTCCTCTCTCCGCACAGCATTTTCTGCCCTTTCTTAGCTGTCCTTTCACAGAGGCACCGCCAGCTCTGCCGAAGGGCTTAGCTGTGGCCGCAGTGTCCCCAGTGTGGAGCTGCTGGGAGGCAGCTGTTCCCCAAACGGGAGAGCTCCACACATCTCCCCACAGAGGCCACCCCGCAGGCTCTGCCCCGCTCCCTCTACCGAAACCTTGCAACACGCAGCTAACACAAATCTAAAAAGCATAGTGTTACTCAAGTCTAGGGAATAAAGCTAACATTAAAAATTAGATTAATTAGGTCAGCAGGATGTCAGGACTTAAATATGGAGGCAGCTATGCCGGAAAGGTAATTGAACTGTTTATTTCTGCCCCTTGCTCTATTCTAAATTAAACTTAACTAATTCGGGAAAGCAACCAAATGTCATTGAAGCCTTTGAGTTAACACACTGTTGCCGTTTAAAAGACAAAAGCCAGAAGGAGAGGGAAGAGTGCACGATCCGTACCAAAGGGGCTGACACGGGCAGGCGGCATCACGGTGTGCCTCCATCAGCACTCGGAGGCGACCCGCGAGCTTGTGCCTCTCCTTGCCCCGGGGGCGCGGGAAGTTCTGTCCTGACGTGACTGGGAGTTTTGAAGGATCGCGTCCGCCCAGGGGTTTGCGCCGATCTTACTCGGGCTGCGAGGTGCCAACGCAGCTGTAGCGAAGTTCTAGCGGCATCCACCCCGACCTGGGGGAGGCGGCGGCACCGCGCGGCTGCTGCGGGACCGGGCGGGTCTCGGCGGGGCTGTGCCGGTGCAGGGGGCTGTGCCGGTGCAGGGGGCTGTGCCGGTGCTCCCGGCGGCGCGGGGTGCCGGGCTCCGGGC